TTGGGTTGCACAACACTCTCTCTGGAATGTTTCCCAGTATCCCAGTACAGGCTTCCATTTACAGTGACTTCTATTGCCAGGGAATGTTTTACATCTACTACACCTGGCTCAGTCTTTCCCCTGGCATGTGCACCCGTATCACAGAAAAAGAACAAGGAATGACAAGATTTCAGGCCCAGACATTAAGTTTTCACTGGAAATTAGTAAGAGAGGGAGTCCCTGGTGTAGGAGAAAACAGGGCTTTGGCCTGGTCTATCCCCTGTTTTATCTCACAGGAGCAGAGACAAGGTAAAAAAATTATCAGAGGCTAAAAAGAGCATTTATTTGAAAGATTATGTAGGGAATGGTTTTCTCCATCCTGAGCCCCAAGCTTGTGAATTGCTGAGACTAAGTTTACACAGCATGGCCAAAGGAAAAAGCACATGATTATTTCAGAACCAACTAGTTTGTTTCTTTGACAGCTTCCAGCACATCCAGTCTTTGTGTGTAGCCCCTGGGGCTGCTTTGAAGTCCAGACCTTGCCAATGTGCCCAAATGAGTCAAGACCTACCAGCTGTGGGTGAATTGGCACCACAAAGATTTAGGGTGTGGCTGAATTGGCACCACAAAGGTCTAGATCACAGAACTATAGGTGGTAAGAGCTCCAGTACAAAGGATCTTGTCACAGGTGTCAAGAGCATTCTTAGATCCCCAGAAGGGCCAAATCTGGTAGATGTACTTAGACCACACCTCACCCACCGGGACAGCAGAGTTTAGTATAGGCCAATTAATTACTTTCACTATTAAATGCTGAAGAAGGGAGCTGCAATCATGTTTTGTGCAACAGTATTTCCCAATGCTCTTGCCTGAGTTGTAAGAAAGCTGAACCCTCTGTGCACTGCCGTTTCCCAAGAGTGTTCCAATTCCCAGGCAATGTGCCTTTCACCTAAATCTCTTATCAATATGGGCATGAAATGCCATTATCCAGAAGGATAATCAAAAAGGAATCTGATTTTATTTAGCATATGAATAACCTTCTGGCAAGGGAGGGAGAGGCATGGGGACATTGGGAAATGAAAATCCACAAAGAGATGTTGGATAAAATGAAGAAACAGTTTGGAAGAAACAGAAAGAGCAGAACATGGAATCAGCAGCTTCTCAGAAAGTATAAGACCAGACTCAAAAATGAAGCTCCATTCTGCTTATTCTAAACAGTTTCTGAAGTCAGGTATCAAGCCTGAGCCATTTCCTTTGCAGGTCATGGAATGTCATAGTCAATGGAATAAGCATGCTAAAGCCCTGGGGTTCTCTGTCTTTAGTTTCATTTTATTATACAATTCAAGGTCAGCTCATCCCTTGTATTATTTTATTAGTAATTAAGAAAAAATTTACAGACTTATTTTACCCACACTGTGATTTTTCAGAATGAGAATCTGCTGCCTTCACAGGCTAAGCAGACTGCTAAAAAACACAGGTCCCAAAGGTAACATCACGTGAGCTGTGCTTTACAGATATTTTTTGCTTCAGGTTAAATCTTATCACTGTAATTGTGTATGGAAAAGTATGTTATCTCCAGAGGAAGATCCTAGAGCTCACCACAGAAAAGAGTGGGCTGCTGATGTCTGGCCAGTGCCACTAGCCCTGACATCATGAAGTTCAAGTCTAGTTTTCATCAGTTGGAATCGTATTTCTACCTGGACTGACATCTGCACATGATATCTTCTGGGAAGATAGAGACTGCAGCACTACCAAGAGGCAGATAAAGAACCAAACAAAAACCTGCTGCTGCAGGAGAAGAGCCACTGAGGAGGATGAGGCAAGAACAGCTCTCAGATCAGGCTGCAGTTGCCTCTGGCTCCATTAGACTCAAAGGTGCAATGTCAGCAGCATCCAAAATCTGCCATCACAGGTGATGAAACACATCTGTGACACTGAGCCTTGATTTCCATAAAAGTATGAAAAAGGCATGGAGGCACAACAAAGCAGGAATGTGAGCAGCTCGGAAGATGATTACCAAGAAATGCTGCACGGGAACTCACAAATAATAAAGACTTGCCGTGAATCAAAAACCAGAGAGAGAAGAAGCTTTTGTCTTCCCATAAACTGCCACTACAATGACCCATCAAGTCCTAGTTCTGCTGTAATGGGCACAGCCTTGTTCCTGCAAATGTGAAAACGGCTTATGCAAGATTCTCCCACAACTAATTGTTACTGTCTAATTGTACAGTCGGGTTACCACATGTTTTCATCTTCCTACTGGCATTTTTAAAAGCTGGATTATGAGCTATGACGAGAACAGCTGTGCCTTTACCTTCAGAAATCCAAAAGTCTGAAAAAGGGGAAGGAGGCCACAGCTGGTTCCTTCTCAGGCTCCTACCAGCACAGCAAGATGGAAATTCTCCTGGCCATTTTTCTCTGTGTTTTGACTGGTATTGTGGCAATTGCTTTCTATTATGAACACCCCAAAGCAGAAGTTCCTCATGGAATCAGTGAGCACCAAAAGCTTTATGTTCTTCATTACTTCATTAACTTTGGGTTTGGTCTGGTAAGTGAAACTTATTAAAGTTTGAGTTTTTAATTCTGTTTCTGTTAGAGGGTTAACGGTTTGGTGATGTTTTTTAGAATCAATGTTTAAATAAATTGCAAATATGCAACTGGACTGATTAGGTGATGTAAGCAGATTCCTTCAGCTGTGCTGGGCACAACAGACTCCCCTCTTTGCTATACAGAACCAAAGGCAGTGTTTGTGAAAAATAAAATTGGGCAGACTGTGCAATTCCCAGTTTTTTTCTGACAGCCTTTGTTTTAGCTTTTCATGCCTGCTGCCCCAAGGCAGTGCTGGAAGGCTTAGGAGGTAACTTGCCCTGTGTATGTGGAATTTCTGCTCTCTGTAACACCGTGCTTGCTCACAGAGGGAGCAGCTAAATGATGTCTGTGATTTCAGCTCTCTCCTCCAACCCTGTCACTCTCCTCCTGAGCCATCTGAGCAGAGCTGCCACATTCATCATCATTTGCCTTTCAGTATGCCTGAACAACTTTCTTCTCTGAGACAGTACACCTAATACCTAAAGTGACTTTCTGTGTCATTGTTTTTGGCACATTTTTGATCCTTCCTCGCTTTTCATCCTTGTTTCTTTTCAGAACTAAAACATGACATGCACTTGTCTTTCTGTTTCATCAATCATCCTGTCCTGAATTAACTGTTGCCTGCCCCAGTCATTTTAAAAACCCTTCTGTGACACCTAAACTAAGCTTCTTTTAGTTGTTTAAATTGTGAAAAAAGCCTGTTCAGTCTCTTTGGCTTGTGCATAACATTTCACTTCAATTCTATGTTCTAATGTTAATTCTTCCTTTCTTTCACTGCCCCATTGCTTAGTTTTTGTTTTAAATCAGTGAGCTCCCAAGAAGGTGACTCACCATGTCTCTGGTGCCACACCCAGGCCTCAACACTACTTTGACAGAAAACCAATAAAATAGGATCTGGATTGAAGTCAATTTTCTTACAAGTATTAAACAGTGTATAAACTGTGTGATTGCTCTTTATCCATCAATGTTTTATTTTTGTGTAATTCATTTGTTAAAAGTGAACCTGCAGTATTTAGAAATTTACTGGTGATTTATGTAATGTAAACTTCTGATCTTAAAATTTTGGATCCTTTCTGCTCGCCAGTGAGAGTCCAAGCACAGGCACTGTCACACACTGCCTGAAAGGAGCAGACAGATAAGGACATTAAGGGAGGGTTAAACCAAAGTTTAAATGCAAGTAGAGTTCACATCATGTAGCAACACTTGCTATGGCTGTTGGGCAAATTATTTGTGCCAAATTCTTTCAATGGCTGACAATTCATGAAGTCAAAACTGCATGGAAAATTAAAATATACAAGTATATCCAGTGTTCAGCTGGGACAAAAGGCAACACCAAAACACTGTGGTTGGTAAGGTTTCCTAGGACACCTTTTACTATTTTCAAGACAAAGATGATCTCCATATTCCATGCAGATACAGCTAATGGCAGGTTTAACCTTTACTGTTACAAAATTATTAGTGTGAGGAAAGAAATTACCCGAGGGAAGTTGAAGAATAAATAAGTAAAGTTATTTTCCCACAGATATAGATCAGGAGTTCTATGGAAGGAATCTGTATGAGACTATAACTTTGCCACAAAACAATCCTTCCTGTGTATGGGATCAGCTCTTCAGATGACCTAAAATAGGACACCTACACCAAATTTAACAGGGTCATGTTACTGAGCCACATGAGGTCTGTGAAATATGAGGTGAAAACCACAAGGGCGAGGTTTTAAGATCCAAGCAGTGAAGATCTTTATATGTATAATTCTCATTGAAATGCATACGCATGAATAATGGCAGCACAACATACTGAATTACCCATCAGAGATCTCTGCTGTGGAAGTAGTGCAAAATTGAATCCAATATAGTGGAAATGCAGTGATACTGCTTCATATTTTTCATCTTGAGCAGGAATAGACTAGAGCAGGCTACAAGTGAAACAGCTTAAAGCCATGCAGATGGAATGGAGTAGAGGAGCCCACAGTGACATAAGAACCTTAGCCCGAGTGTTTAAGTAGGAATCAGTGAGCTGTGAGATGATCAAGCCAGGGTTCACAGCTCTCCTTGCTCAGGAGGACAGAGACGTGGTAGATGCTGTGAATTTTTTTTCCTGCAAGCTTAAACACAGTGTGAGTTTGGGAAACAAAAGTATTGGCTATGTTTCTTCATCCAAAGTTAAGGTTTAAAATACTGGAACTATTCTGTATTTTGTACAGGCACATGGCTACTGAAACACCTGACAATGTGAAGTATTTGACACCTTTTATCTACTATTGATAATCTGATTGTTTTCCTACTGAATTGACCATGGAGTTTAAAAATTTTCATTGTCAATCTCCAGGATAGGTAGCAATTTACACTAATTTGGTCTCTTGTGGTTTCTTTTATCACCAGGCAACATTACTGGACAAAGTAGGTATAATGTCAGAGATCCATTTCCTCAGGGTTGTAATGGCGACAATACCACCATTAAAGGATACACGACTTCATATCAAGGACTTAAGGTTTGAAAGGGTTAAAGTGAGAATTTACCAGCTAAAAACATCAAACAGTAACCAGAGGAGGGGAATTCTTTATTTTCATGGAGGAGTTGGCCAGTTTGGAAGTATCCGTAAGTATTACAAATAATTGAGGGACACTCCAGAACCACACACACCACAGAATTTCTGATCTGATATGGTGTATCTTAAATTACAAGAGTTAGTGGTTTAACATTATAAATTTAAAAAAATAAGTTCAGGACAGCAGAATCAATTTACTTACATGCAATAGATATCATGTTAAATAGTCTTTATATAGATTGGGTATCTAGAATAGTCTCTAATAATTTTTAATACCTATTTTCTTCCTTCCTCTTTATTCTTATGAGAAAAGTTGAAAATCTCACTAGAATTTTATTTCTTATTTAAATCACCCATTTTTTGTTCCCAAGTGTGTGCAAGCTTGCATGTGTGTATCGTGCTGTGTGTCTTTATAGTGGAAAAACAAGGAAAAAACACATTTTGTAAAGTGAATGGGAAAGTGATGGTGCCTCATGCACAAGAAAAATTCTTGTATTTGATTTAGCAGATTTTTTTGTTGTCTTTGTTTTAAACAACTCCTCCCCTTCAAAATGACTTTCAAAGTGGCAGCAGTGGCTCTGTCTGTAACTTTTCAAAGAGGGGACCAAACCAATGCATTGATTTAAATTCTAGGTTTCTTACCAGCCAGAAGATTCTCACAGCTGTAAGGAAATGAGTAGCAATGCCCAGATCAGACCATGCCACATGTTACACATGTTGTGTAGCATTAGCCATGCAAGAGAGATGTGGCAGGCACATTCTTCTCTCTCTCAGGATTTTTTCATAGAGGAACACAGAGAGAAGAAAGAGAAAACAATTTCTATTTCTACTCCTTGTTTTTCCCATGTGGAAAATTGGAGAATTGTTTCCCTGGGGTGAGTGCTTGGTTGTATTCTGGTGAGGATTGTTTGAGCTGATGGTCAATCCAACCCACCTGGAGCTGGACGCTCAGAGAGGGTCATGAGTTGGGAGTGAGTTAGATGTGGGAGGTAGAAAAAGTAGTTTTGTAGTTTTAGTATCTTCTTTAAATAGTATGTTAATGTATTATAGTATAGTTATAATAAATCATTCAGCCTTCTGAACTAGAGTCAGACATCATCATTTCTTCCCACCGGGTTCACCTGCATTTAAAATAGGGAGATAAGAATTGCAGAATATTTTCATTCCATTTATTTTTAAAGCAAGTTGTAATTCCAGTGAACGATTCTGTTTTATAGAGGCCTATGAAAGAATGTGCCGCTATCTCTGCAGGAAGACCAACTCAGTGGTGGTGTGTGTTGGGTAAGCAAACCCCACCCAGGCACTCTGACCCTGCCTTTGCAAGCCTTGCCTGAGCCAAGCTCCTTGTGAAGTACATTTAGTATCTATACGTAATGATCCGTTACTTTCACCAGCACTAATTCCTAATTAGTCAACTAATCCCCAATTGTTTATTTCCAAATGAAATCCATTACGGTAATTTTATAATTTGTAGCTAAGACTTGAGACATGAGGATGTTTTTGTTTTCTAGAGCCATATTCAAACCACCTTAGGCTGAAAGCCTGGAGTGTAACTGTTTCTCTAGAAAGCACAGCTGCCCAGAACACCAAATACTTGGTTTAGAAGTTCTGAAAAATACAAGAACCTCATGAGTTTAAAACAAGAGGTTACAAACCGAGTTCAATGTATCCGCCCTCAAAAGAAATTTACACATTTGACTCTATTGTCTTAAATTCTTCAGTAAGTTATACTTGAAAACATGATGCATTTGCATGAAGAAGTGGAAGCAGGAAATCCACATTTAACTTGTAGTCAACCTGAGATGACCATTAAAAGTATTTCTCTGATTAGCTGTAATACTTTTTAAAAAGAAACAATATCTACAAGTTCAGGCAAAGAGTTGATTACAATTGCACTAATTGCTGTTTACTTCCTAAAATACTTGAAGAACCAATAACTTATTGATTCTGTTTAAGTAATTCAGCTTCCAGAACCCTGAAAAACTTTCAGATTTTCATTATCAATTTTCTATGCTCATATTTTCTATGCTCATATTCTCTAACAATTTGTTGTTAAATGTTCATTTTCTAACTGGAATTAATGATAACTGATTGACACTCCTGCCTTGCCAACTAATTCCAAAACAACTCTCATGTGCCTCCAGTCACCTACAAGATATGTAAAGAAGTATTTTGCAAAGGTAGAGCAGTGTACTGACTCTCCCAAACATGAACAATAGCAAATTATGAATCCAAAGCACTAATTTGGATGAATTCTATAGCTGCAATTATAATCACAGAGTATTTATAAATGAACGGCAAATTCCATTGGGCCCATTCACTAGAAATGACTGTGCTAAAACCCTTTCACTCCTATTTAGGTATCGTTTAGCTCCCGAGCACCCATTTCCAGCCCAGTTTGAGGACTGTCTCACTGCTGCCATCCATTTTCTGAGGACTGCACAAGACCACGGAGTCGACCCTTCCCGCATTGTCATCTGTGGAGACAGCAGTGGAGGGACACTCACTGCTGCCGTGGCCCAAGCTCTGGTGAACAGAAGAGATCTCCCAAAGCTGAGAGCACAAATCCTAATATATCCTTTCCTGCAGTGTGTGGACTTCAATTTGCCTTCTTATCAGCAGAATGAGAGAGTCCCCATTTTGCTAAAGAGGCGAACCCTTGTTCTTGGCTTGAAGTATGTTAATATGGACTTGGGCATCATGGAAGAAGTATTCAAAGGTTGCCACGTTTCAGAAGATCGGAGACTGAAATATCAGAAATGGGTGGGTCCTGACTACATCCCTCATGAGTTTAAAACAAGAGGTTACAAACCAAGTCCAACACCTCTACCCTCCAAAGAACTCTGTGAATTGGTCGAGTCCATGTTTGACCCTGTTTTTTCACCGTTGTTGGCTGAAGACAGTGTTATTGCTCAGCTTCCTGAGACTTTCATTTTGACCTGTGAATTTGATGTGCTTCGAGATGATGGACTGCTGTACAAGAAACGATTAGAGGACCACGGTGTGAAAGTGACCTGGTGCCATCTGCAAGAGGGGTTCCATGGAACACTGTTCTTAGCACTTTTTGGTAGGGTGATAGGATTCCGCTCTGGTGCTAAAGGCCTGGAAAAGATAGTAAATTTTCTAAGACTGATGTAGAATTCCATTTCTTGCTTTCTTTTCCTGATTTATATCTCTTTTTGCTTACAAACTTATTTTTTTAAATCCTCAATTTTCCTTTCCTTAAATCATTACCTTAAATTTCTGCACTGCATCTCTCTACTTTTTACCCACTAAGTTGATTGCATGATGGCCTTTGCTTAATTTTCTCTCAGGAGAGGCAAAATCAGGTGAATTTACACTTCTTTCATCTGCCAGCTCTTCAGTTATCTCTTGTAGCCATTAAAGATCTCATCCTTATAGCACAGGGTTTGCAATGTGGTCTGGTTCAATAAAGTTCTGGTACTATTGGAACACAAACCACATTTGCAAATTACCTGGGGCAGGTAACAGGAAACAGATCCAGTGAATCTACAGGATCAGTATATAAAAAGTATGGTCAAAGACGTAAGAAAGCCTCTGTCTGGTGAGAGCTCAATTTGAGACAAGCTTAAAGAGAGCTGAATGTAGCAGGAAAAATGTAAACACAGACAGAAATTAAAAAAGGGGAAGAGAAGGAGAGGAAGAGAGGGAAAGGGCAGACTTGGAACTACAGATGTTAAAGTACTGGTTAAAGAAAACATCTATTTTAAAAATCATGCATATACATCTTATGTATAGATAATACATACATGAGATTATAAAGTAATATCAGTTCCTTTACAAAGTGTAGGCCTGCACTGCCTGATGCAGAAAGGACTCTCCCTTTGAGAGACAGTGTCAAGTGCCATTGGAGAAAAAGGAGAATTCTTGAGAAAATTAAAAAAAAAATCAAAGTTAGGCCAATCTTAAACTGTTTACAGCAAGAGATGAACAAGCCAGGAAACCAATACAAAATAAAATGGCATAACAAAAATGTAAAGCTATTTTCTCAGAAATGAACGCAAGTATTGCTGGAAATGTCAGTAAATGTTTTAATTACACCATTCTGAGGTGAATGTATAATTGTAGAACAGTGATATTGTTTCAGGTTTTGTTATAATCTTATATCCAGAATTAAGACAACTTATCATGTCACTAGAAATGTCTTAAATTCTTCAGTAAGTTCTACTTGGAAGCAGGATGCATTTCCATGAAGAATCAAACACAGGGTAAGGATGCAGTTTTACTGACAGTCAAAACTTCTGACTGTCTTTGCTTAAATTAACACCTGGAACACTGAAATTACTGCTATTCTTGTCAGGGAAATTTCCAGCTCTATAATTTTCAAACAATACTCTCTGTATCTGATATTCCTCTATGTGTTTTCTGCCCCCCACTGGCTCATTTAAACTACACCCAAAAGCAAGGATGCTGCAGGCAGTTATGTAGGACACATGAGCCAACAGAAGACACCCTACAACCAAGGGAAAGGCTTTCCTGCACTGCTCTGCATGGCTATTTACATTCAGCATATGAGCAAAGAAAGCCTGCCAGAACAATATGAATTACAGGTAGTTACATTCACATAGTAATCAGGAAAAAGGGGAAATGTTATAGGGATCTTCCATATGGCATCTCTGAATGAATACAATGCAAGTAAGCATAAAGCTCAGAAAATCTTCTCCAGTGTTTTCCTGATTTCTAGGCACACACTAACACTGACACTGTGGAATGCTGCCAGTTTTCCATGTGGACAACCCGTGCCACAAATGCTCAGGTGACACCAGTGGCAGTTTGTCCATGAAGTGATAGAGCAGTAAATTCCTGAAATTAAAATATATAATGAGTCAGACTAACACAAAGGCTGTTGAACTTCTCATGGGTATTACACCCCAAAGACAATATGATGAAGATAATACAGTTTGTTTGGGTTTTTTTTAACCCAGAGAGCTCCTGGGTTATTGATGAATTTTGGCCTATGAAGAACTTAGGAAAATACAGTTGCCAAATAAGTTTCCTTAGCTAGGGCAGTTCCTTCCCATCTTGACAAAACAACTAGCTCCTTCCACAAGGGAAAGTGAGGTGCCCGAGGTGAGCATTCCCTCCAGAGTTTGCACCCTGAGTGAGGTGACAGCCCAAGCTGCCCTCCAGACAGGAACAGGGTGTGGGCAAGGCTGGTCCATCCAGAGGTATTAACCCTAGAGAATGTGGCCATGAGCCACACTTCTTTAGCTGGTCTCTAGAGTTTACTGTAACACAAATAAAAGGATCCAGGAGCAGATTGGAACACTGTTGAAACCTGAAAACTGCTGAGGCTTTGGGAAGCTCAGTGCAGCTGGGAGGGCTTGACACTCTTTGAGCTGCTTTGTGTGACAGAAGATGTTGAAGAAATGAAGGGAAAGCAAACTGCCCTGCATTATTCCATCAGCAGATGTCAGCACCAGCTGAGTCTGTAATAACCTGATGAGCATCTGAAATAACCTGGTGAACATCTGATGAGCTTAGGACAAGCTGAGCACTGGCCATGGGCATCTGCCTTTGGCTTCAATACTGTACAGTCTAACATTTTAACTACTTAAATCCTAAATTTGTGTTCTCTGGAAGGGAAAAACTCCAAATCAGCCAATCTCAGCACAAACCTCTGTGCTCTGGGCACACAGTGTGAGTACCTGGAACACATTACCAAAGGTCAAACTGTGGTTTGATTTCAATATTTAACTGAACTTATTGTTATGCCTTCATAGCCTGAAGCTGTCTCTTCATTATCAGAGTACATTTTAAGCCATAACAACTTTAGATTACCTGTTCTAACCAATCAAGTTTGGAGTGGTGTATTACAGAAGTCTACAACTTCAATTATCCTCTGCTTTGCTGTCTTCACATCATCTCTTTATACCACACTAGTTACAATTCACATCCCATAGCATTTTTAAAATAAACAGGCAATTAGAAAACATTCCAAATTTACTAGCTCTATTATTTATAAATAATGCTAATTACTTAAAAGCACTTAACACTATTCTCTGCTTATGATGCCCATTCTCTGTACTGCTCAGGCATAATCCTGCAAACTCTGGCTGTTTTTATTGCTGTCTTCCTTGTCTCAGTTATTCACTGTGTTTTCTGATTCTTGTGAGAGTGCAGACCCTGTTAACCTGAATATTTGAACTACTGAGACTCAGACAAACCTGGCCATAGCAAAATAAGGGCAGTTGAAGTTGTTATATTTATATTCAAGCAACTTCTGATTGAATAAGATTCATTTTGATGTGATGACCTGCCATGAAATCCCAAGTGGATGTTCCAGAGCAGCTTTTTGGAATGGAGCAGAATTCATTCACTCTGAGGAACAAAACTGCACAGCAACAGAGACACAGACACCCAACAATCCAGCCACATTTCCCAGTGCTACTCTACAAAACCCTCCAGTTGAATAAACATTTCAAAAATGTACCTGCTCCGAACTGCACAATACAAGATCTGAATTTCCATCACTGAATGCTAATACATAACAATTGTCTTTTTTAAAAAATACATTATAGCTTTTTACTCCAGAATTTGTTAGCAGCTGTTTAGCCTAGGAGTGATTTGGAAGGGACAGACTTCAAAGAAGAGAAGGAAGAAAGAAAAAGCTAAAATAAAGATTTATGCCAGGCAGTGCAAGGTGGCTTTCTGTCGTAAGAGCAAAGCACACAGGAACTAGCTACTTATTTGGGTGGGGAGATGGAGATAATGAAGAGGGAGGACACTGAAAGGTAGGTAGGAGGCAGCCTAAATGCAGAGGCAGATGAAGCAAATACACAGCACCTTTAAAAACCATAGATGTATGGTACAGCACGTACTAAGCTGTAATTTCTTAAAGCTGCTTATTGTCACTGTGAAGGGCATATTAAATCCATCTCACAGATCAGAAGAATCAGGCTTACAGGTATGAAAAGCTCTGAGATGCTTTCAATCAGTTGTCTGCATAGTGTAAAATGAAGAAATGTGAACCTGAAGTATGGCAAGTTTCATGCTCTACGTGGTAAAAAACAAAGTCAGTTAAACTACTCTATGGATTCTAATTGTTCTGCTAAATTACTAGAAAAAATAAGAATAACTTTGAAAAGCAAGGCAAATTATATTTACCAGAGTGTTTAACTTTGAAATGAACATTAAAAAACTAAAGAACTCTATCAGAAGCTATTAACTCTGGGTTTAAATTTTCTTTGTGATACTTTATTTTTTCCTGTTTTCTGCTTCCTGGCTACACCTGCTGGATACCTCAGTCTTCACAGCTGACTACCATTCTTTAGTTACTCACCATAGGATTTCCTGTGTTACACTGAGTAGCTCTGCAATAGTCAGCTGACTCCAGCTTAACAGTGCTGGAAACAGCCTGCAATCACAGGTAAAATGTGTTGTAATGTTTTAGAGAAAGACTTCACAATAAAACCATTAACTCACGATAGTCACAGAATTTATTAGCACCAACACCCTTGAGTGCTCCTGCCTTGCATAGTGTTGGGTTTGTCAGCTCCTGCCTCTCCCACTAATAATTAAGGGGAAGCTGATGAATTTTACACATTCTCAGACATTGATGAATTTTACACACTCTCAGCCTACAAAGCTATGTGTAATTCCACAGCTACAGAAGCTTTAGAAAACCCACAAAGCTGAGTCTTGGGAAAACCTACAAAGACCACATTTCTTTGGGTAGGTATCATTATTGTACTTCACCTTCCCATCATTACTATAGCTATTAGAAATATGCTGAAAAATCAAGAAGAGAGTGAATTTTAGAATGCAGAAATGGAGGCTTGCTGATAAGAAAATGGGAAGAATTTACCCAACTCTTGTTAATTCTGTACTCATCAAGCACTACGTTAACCAATTAAACTCCAGCAACACCAAGTTCAATGAATAAAGAATCATTTTGTGAGCTCTGAGTAGCTGTTTTATAACAATAAAGAGCCACATGAGGCCCATAATTCTCATTACAGTGTCAAACTTCACACTGTTTTCATTTTCTCTGGTTTACTGGAATCTCATCAACATTTAGTTAGTGCAAGGCTTTTCTCATTTACAGGTGGAAGGACTTTTCCCTCGTGGAAGTTGAAAAACAAAAATATGGCTATAGCAAAACACATAAAACACCATTTAAATAACTACCTCTTTACTGCCAGATAGAGAAGCGTTTTTGTTTGCAAATATACAAGGTACTCATTTTATGCAGTGGAGTCAAATGAAATAAAAACATTCTTTTGACATTTACCACCTCAAAAACAACTGGGGAAAAAAAACAAAAAAAAACCAAAAAAACAACCCACTCAAAACCTCACTGACTGTTTTGTAACAACTTGAGAATCTGACACTGACCATAGATATCCCTACCCAACCTGTGGGTACAGGAATGGCTGGCCTGACTGGAAATAGCTGAAATATATGAAATATAAGGCACCAAGAATCACCACACAATTGTCAGCATAAACATCCCCAGAAGGACCAAGCAGCTCTCAGACCACAGGGTTTGCTTGATTCTGGAAAAACATGGACATTTTGTTAACAGGACAAGGAGGACTGGAGTGCAAACAGCACAGAGCTAGGAAATGCTCTAAGTTCACATGCTTGAGTATACTCTAACAGTATAACCTATCTTAATATGTTTATTAAAACATTAGGATATTACTTTGAAACATTGATTCACCAACATTTCTTTAACAACTGTAATGCAGAACTGAAAGATTATTGCTTAGATTGTCATGATTAGACAACAGATTCTGTAGATAACTGCCAGGGTGTAACAACAACAACAAAAAAATAAACAAAAATCTCCAAACTGTCCCCTTGTAAATTCATTTTAAAATAAAAAGACAGTAAAACAATTTCCTTCCTACTCTATCAGGTCCATCAAGGTTTCAAAGCATGAGGTGGCATGTATGAGGTGTTTTGGTTTTGATTAAAGCTGATTAATTACTGATTCACTGAATAGGAGATGAAATCTTGTGTCAAAACAGTGTCAGCAAGAGCTCATAGAGGTAACAGCAGACAGACATGTCCTCTTTGATATAAGGATTTCTTAATCTGATCATACAAATAGCAGGTGCTTCATTGCCTTTGGTCACCTTTAAAAGTTTCATTTACTCCCTCTGAAGTACAAAGTACCTTTAAGAATTTTTTATTCTTGATTAAATGTTCTTTAGAAAGCACAGAAATTGACTCCTCTGAGGATTCAAATATAAGAAATCATCAAGAATGCTGAAATACAAGATTCAGAGCTGATATCCATGTGGAAATTTATTTCAGGATATTTTGACTGATGGCACAGACATCAGAAATAAGCACTTCTTACAGGAATATATGGCAAAACAAAGCAAAATCCCTACAGACTGTGCTATAATATCACACTAGAGGGAAAGATTTCTAGAACTAATAACCACAAACAGCACTGAGCTGCCCCAGCTGTGCTGCAGAGCCCTGTGGAGAACATCTGATGAGCTTAGTACAAGCTGAGCACTGGCCATGGGCATCTGGCTTTGGCTTCAATACTCTACAGTCTAACATTTTAACTACTTATATCCTAATTTTGTGCTCTGTGGAAGGGAAAGGTTCCAGATCAGCCAATCTCAACACAAAAAGGCTCTAATGATCTCCCTGTTTCACAAACCTTGACACAAATTTATGGCATTGCTTCATCCCACACATCCTCTCCTTCACAAGCCAATGTTGTGCAAATCAGCTGTCAGTGTTGCTTTGATTTAAATACTGTGCTGATGAAAGTAAAGACTAATTCAGTTTGCAGACTGGAAGTCCACTTGAAAAGCCAAGGCACAAAATGTTTGGCAGCTGTAAATTTTAAATTGTGTAGAAAATATAATTATAGTAAGGAGAACACAAAACAGAAAAAATTACTTCATCAAACAGCTGCTACCAACTGTTACCAATGCCTCACCAATCCATATGTATTCATCATGCCTCTACACTGAACTGCAAACAAGAATTACAGTGCATATGAAACCCTGATGGTTAACTGCTAAAAAGCTTTTGCCAGAAGCAACAGTGGCTTCAATCTACAAACATACCTCAAGTGTCTGGAGAGACCTTTGTCTCCATTCAGGTTTGCACTGATTTTAAACACAGAGCAAATATACTCTTATTTAAACAAAAATTAAAGCATGAATGTGTCAGTGCATTCCCCTGTGAAAGAGAGTTTATAAAAAAATGTGGATTTGAGTATTTTTCTTCTCAGAAAAGTGTGTATATATATGCTTTGATTACAAATGCAAGTAGCCCCACATCACTAAAATTTAACACTGCAACAGGAATGTCCATCCATAATGAATCCACTATAAAACAAAAAGACTATCTTCAAATCAAGGCCCCTCTGAACAATAATTTCTCCTTGTTAATGAAGAGTTCATAGTATTAATCACTTCCATATAGTTTGATTCCCACCTTTTGTAAAGGGTACAAAGAAAGCATGTAAGAGTAGTGAATAATATCATTAGCAAAAGAAGGGTGGAGAAAATTGCATTACGTTGCATTGCAACATTAATGCACATTTAATTTCTGCATATGAACTGAGCTCTCAGTGTCCCATGAAGACACCTTAGATGCACTTGAAAACAAGACTTAACGCAGCATTGGTTTGACAGCATTCATTCCTGTTGAAGGGAAATGGCATTTATTTATACAACTTTAGCTATTATAGGAATGTTCTTGTTTTCTCCTCTTTTAATACCAGCACTGTTTTTGGGGGTTGTATTATATGATTTTTTCAACTCAGAACTGCCACCTGGAATTGAGCAACCTCTAAAGCTCCGTTTTTTCCACTCCTTGCTGATTATGGCCATGGTTACGGTAAGTTAAATTTCTTAACCTGGGGATTTCAGTTTTGCTTAGGTAGGATATTTGGCAGCTAAAGGAAAATGGTTTACTTAAGGGGGAAAAAAAAAAGAAGAAAAAAGCAATTCATGGTGCTGAAGCTTGTAAGCATTGATATATGAACCTAAAACTCATATTAAATTAACTCATAAAAATAATATGACTAATCTTAAAGGCTTCTTCAGATTTTTTCAGTCAAACTACAGACACTTTATGCTGGGAAATGGGTTTATATGAAAATTTAAAACAAATAACCTAGATGTATCCTGTAGCTATTGAACTGCATGTGCATAGAATAATGCTGCCTGTTCAGAAACAAGCCAACATTACTCCTCTTCTTCCAAATTCTTTCTTTTCAACAGGGAAAGATTTTGGAGAAGCTGGGGATCTGCAGTGATTTAACCCTACTGCGGCTAGCACTCAATGGGATACCTCCATGGAGAGATTCCAAACTGCTTATCAAAGATCTCACAGTAGACGGGGTACCCTTGAGGATTTATCAGCCCAAAAATACACCTACTGGCAAAAGAAGAGGAATTCTCTATTTTCATGGAGGCGCTGGCACATTTGGGAGCATTAGTAAGAAATGGGCAAGTTTTATTTTTCAAGTCCAATCCAAACCTTTACATTTTTGCCTTCAGGCATGTGTCAGTCAATGTCTGCCCTGTCCTTGCCAGTGTCATCACTCTTTGCTCAGCACAAACTGGAAAGTGTTTGTGGAATGAATAGTCTCATGTTGAAGGGAGCCTTTGGGCAAGAGACCTGTGATCCAGAAATCCCTCACCCTGTCCTCAGCTCTCAGGAAGGGATGCTGCTCTACTAAGACTACCTTATCTTACATAAAAGATATAATATGGGTCCAAGGAAGGATTTAAATGCATTAAAAAAAAATCTGTAAATAAATTCCCATTCATGCAAACAAGGAATCCAAATGAAAGAAAATATAAATAACGAAGGAGCAATTTGGGGAAGTTTGATTCTTGTGGTGACATGGCAGAGGATACTTGATTTTTCCAGAAAGGGAGACAACCCTTGTCTCAACAGCTGGGAGTTCAGCTCCCTGAGTGCTCTGGATCTCCTTCTGAGCAGCTAAGGCTCCAAGTGCCTTCTCTGCAAGCCAAGGCCCCTAGCATGGAAATCTGAATTTCATTCCTAGGGTTGGGCAGTGCAATTTGAGGGGTTTGAATCCTTTACTCTTTCAAAGGGTAGGTCTGCACTATACTGGGCAGACTTGAATTTCCTGGCATTCCTTCCTGTGCAAGAATCATGACAAAACTCCTGTGCCATAGGTTCCCCTCTGCACTGGGGCACAGACAACCTATCCTGCTGTCCTCAGAGCACAGGAGTCTGGGTGGAGAATCAGCCTCAGGTCTAGAGCTAGTCTGGGTGGCAGTGAGGGATGGCAAGCACTCATTGATCAAAGTGACAGGTGAATTCCTCTTGCTGGAAGGAAAAAACCACACCACGAGTTGCACAGTGAGTCCTTGTTCACGTGGCACGGCTTGATGTAACAGCCATACCTGTACACAGAGAGTGGGACCTGACCTTTGCCTTCAATTCCTTTTGGTGTTGATAACAGGAAAACAATCAACATGACAACAAGCTTTCAGAAGGCCTTTGGGAATCTCCAGCCTTGGAAGCCTGCAACCAGCAAATTAGCAGATGCTACACTGAAAAGAATCAGTGGCCAGATAACTATGACTTATTCCTCAAATGGATGTCATACTTCACAAATCCTAGAATCGTTGAATAGTTTGGGTGGAAGGGACCTTAAGTCTCATTCTCATTCCAAGTCCCCACCATGGGCAGGGACACCTTCTGCATTTCCAGGTTGCTCCAAGCCCTGTCCTACCTGGCCTTGAACATTTTCAGGGATGGGGCAGCCACAGCTGCTCTGGGCACCCTGTGCCGGGGCCTCGCACCCCTCACAGGGAAGAATCCTTACTAATATATAATCTAAACCCACTCTTTATCAGTTTAAACAATTGAAGTTTTTAAAGTCAGCAAATACATGAATAAAGGAGACTGAGTTGCTAAAACCCACTTTGATTTCCAGAAGAGTCTCCTAAAGAGGTCATACATCCATGACATGAGGGAAGGTCTTTCATTTGGATTACAGCTGATTGAAAGACAGAAAAAAGATGGGTTATGGGAAGTTCCTGTGAGATTTCCATAAGGAGATCTGTACTGGGAGCAGTGCTAATCAATTTATTAAATCAATTTATTCATACAGAAAAGATGCTGCAAGGTGATGTGGTATTAAATCCTCTGAGGGTCATAAATGGATGGCTGAAAAACTGCAGAATGTCTTTATGACAGCAGAGGATCAGACAATGAAATGACAGCAGAAATGGCATTTAAAGAAGTCAAACAGATGAACAGAGCATTCTGACCTTATAAATGAGGCGATGGACTCCAAGCAGGAGCAGGAAAGAGGCCATGGGATTGTGGTAGGAAGACACCTGAAAATGTTGACATAGTGCACAGTAGCAGTCAAAAAGCAAATAAAATGCTAGCAATGATTAGTAGGAAAGACAAAACAGGAGACTTTTTTTATGCCACTGTAGTAAATCCATGGTTTACCTAAATACAGTATAGTGCTTACAGTTCTGTTTCCCACTCCTCAAAAATGATAAAGCAGTAGTGGAAAGACTTGGAGAGGCTGCCTAGGTGAGAAAAGTGCTTCTGTGCAGAGAATATGTGAGTGACCCATGACTCTTCGGGCTGCAAAAAGACAGATCCACTGACTACAAAATCATGAGAAGCAGAAGAAGTTAAACAGGGAAGGATTTATCCACCATTTCTTACAGTACAAGAATTCCACCATGTGGAAGCAGTGAATGCTAGGTACGAAAGGAGCAACTAGAAATGGCTCTTCACACCTTTGTAAGCAAGTGAGGAAACTCCTCCTTGCACAGAGCTGTTATGGTTAAGGTTAAAATCATGGGCTTAACAAGTGGTTTGGGTAACTCACAGAAGAAATGCTAATCAAGGACATTAGGTATAAAGACAGCTTCTATCTCAAAGGAGTGCCCTGATCCTCCAATTCCTGTATGCTCCTTATTCCTGTTTGTCCTCAGCTTGCACTCTCCTTAAACACCTTTTGCTGACCACCAAGTGAGATGTGAGACCATCTCAGACAGATTCTGGGTTTTCCCAGTATCACCATCCTTACATACTTGTGTGATGCCCTGAGAGCCACTTGCCAACAGAAATTGTGTTAATGTGTAAAGACCACATTCCACAGTAGCCCGAGTTCCTTATCAGTCTCCTCTTGCAGTGCCTACCATGTAGCACATGTTCAGGGATCTGTATTTTCATTTCAAAAGGATATTTTGATTTTCAAATCATCATTTCTGCTAAACTTTCTCTCTAGGAGCCTTTGAAAGAGTATGCCGCTATATGGCCAAAAAATGCAACTCAGTGGTTGTGTCTGTTGGGTAAGTGCTCTTTTGCCATAGAAGTATTTATGGGAATACAGCTCTCAGTTGAAACTCGTCTGAAAAATATGCTGAAAATATTTACTCTTTTAGATCACATCCCTATTTTTAATTTAAACCTCTCATTTAATTTAGAAATGTGCTTATAGGCAAAGTAGTCTAAAATAGCTGTAGCATCATTAGTTTGGCCTTCCAATCTACACTCGTTAAACCGAAATACAATCTTCAAAATTAAGAAAAAAAAGTCTGCATAACTACCACAGCAACTGCAAACAACACAAATGGAATGTTTGTAACTCCACTGACAATAACCACAGTCTTTGACATTTCAGGTACCGTCTCGCTCCTGAACATCCTTACCCAGGGCAATATTTTGACTGTCTCAATGCCACCTTATACTTCATGAGGAATTTAGAAGAGTATCACGTGGATCCTGGTCTCATCATCATTAGTGGTGACAGCTGTGGAGCTAATTTTGCTACAGTTATTTGTCAAATACTGCTGAATGATAGAGATCTGCCAAAAGTACGTGCTCAGGTCCTGCTTTACCCAGGACTCCAGGGGCTGGATTTCCACTTGCCCTCCTACCAGCAGAACGCTTTTGTCCCCATGTTGTCCCAGAAGATGATCATCTACTTCTGCTTTCGTTACCTTAACAGAGAACCCACAGTTTGGAAAGATGTTCTACAAAACTGCCATGTTCCTGATAGCATGAGACAGCAGTATAAAAAATGGGTAAGTGCTGACCTTATTCCTGATGAATTTAAGGTTAGAGGCTATGTCCCACCAAAACCTGCAGTATATAAACCTGAAGTTCATGAAGCTGTCAAAGAAATTTTAGCAGCAACATTTTCCCCACTATTAGCTGAAGATTCCATTATTTGCCAGCTCCCTGAGTCCTACATTGCGACCTGTGAGTTTGATGTGTTGAGGGATGATGGTCTGTTATACAAGAAGAGACTGGAGGAAAATGGTGTTCAAGTGACCTGGTATCATTGCAAGAATGGCTTCCATGGAATTTTAGCCTTTTTTGGCTATGGGATTTTTTCCTTTTTATCTGCAAATAAGATAATGGACAGTCTTGTGAATTACATAAACAGTTTATAGAAGTATTTTTCAGAAGAAAGATGCAAGTCACGCAATATCTTTGAAGCATTTATACTTGGCAAGGAATATAAACACTTTTGATTTATGGTTTGGATTTTGACTGCATTTTGTAGTTTCTGATTTCTGCTTCTGTAGTGACTCTCAAACAAACGTTAAGATTATTTTAACAGCCACCATTCTAGAAAATATTCTTATAAAAACACATCAATAAGACCAACATGAAAAAGGCAAGGCACCTAGCACATCCTGTTTCACTAAAACTACAGCAATTCCAGTATCTTTGCATGGCTGACACACACTGAAGGCAAGAGACAAGAATCTCCATGAAGATTCTTCAACAGCCCAGAAATGCTGAAGACAACAACTGAGGTCTGCTTTGGCCCTTGTGACAGACAGGAGGTGTTGATGGTGTCAGATGGAGAACTCATCTGCTATGAAGTCATACGGCATACATTGAAATTGCAGCCATGAATTTAATTTCCAGGTTTAGTCTCTACAAAAACTACACTGCTCTAGAAATAAGGAAGTCAAAAGGAAGGCTCCTCTCTGGAGCAGAAATCCTAAACTGGCACTAGCATGAGGTTGATTTTGTTTGGGATCTGACAAATCATTTCATTTTAGAGCTTCTTTCTCAAACTAGAATCCCTGAACTTCAGTGAGTGTGTGGATGGCAGAGAAGTGCAGAGGTGGGACTTTTCCATAACCCATTTTTTCTTTCAAGATTATGTTATGCTCAAGGCTACCTGGTCTGCTGTGTTGAAAAAGTTCTGAATATCATGTAAAGAAGGCAGGGAAACACAGTTTTATCTATTTTATCACTGTAATGCTATGGTGATCCTGTGATGCTTTCAACAACAAAAAATAAAAAACTCACACTGCAAATATTTGTGTTATAAGAGTGAGTGTGACATTTGCTAAACACATACTAACTGATGGAAAGGAGCAACACAAAACAGGCAGGCAGTCAGCACAGTCCTGCTGCTTTTACCTGGTCACATCTGTGCTGTGGTCAGTAATTAACCTACCAAACAACTGGATACAACCACACAACTGTAAAAACACAATACAAACTGGAAGTCCACAAACACCACTGGATGCACTATTGTTTTTTTTAAAATCTGGCTTTTGCTGATTTTTGAAACAAGATTTCCTTCTACTTCAGATATTTTATGATTACTGTGTGCCCTATTAAAAACACTTCTCACTAGAGAAACAATATGAAATTAAATTTTTATAAAGTTTTGTAACTAAAATGACAAGGCACTTAGCCCCAACACTTATAATTTGACTTTACAACACCACCACCACCAAACAAAAAAACTCAACACGCCCCGCCATTGCTACCTAGTAAGGTTAGATTTTTTACCTCTTTTCTTTCCCTGTGAATTTGCAGTTTAAATGTTCTGACATCCTAGTCGTTTGAAGAGTTGCAGACTTAGATTCACAATTAATTCATTTGCATAATTTAAAGTACACCTTCCCTACGTTAGCACAATCCTACTCCCCAGCAAGAACAAGATAAAGCAGTTTGATTCAGAACTCTTTAATCACTGGTTATCTTAAGTAATTCTCAGCTGTATTTGTTGCACCAAGAGTTACTCAAAGTTACCTGCAACAGGGTCACCTAATTATGAATCTGAAGTCAGCCTTCTGTGGCTTTTTTAAAGCATGTTCTTCTGTTAGAAGAAAACACAAATACTAAAAAGAGCTGAGATTTGTGTGATGACAGAATTTTCTAAGTGCACCTTTCTAAAGAGCACTGGTGGCAATCCCTTTGGTCCTTCTGAGTGACAATCATCATGTGCAGGTTCCCACTCCTGAGGAAGCTCTTCAGGTGGGTGTTTTGTAGTGCAACAAACTCAAAGCACACAAATGCCCACTGTCCATTTTCCACCTCCAGCTAGTGCAGTTCATTCTTAACACCCTTCTCCCAGCTATGCACTGGTTTCTTGCAAAAATTCCAAAATGCTGCTGGCATAAGTCTACTAACAAATCAAGGACTTTGATCAACTTATCTTTTGTGAGATAACAGGAATGGGGGGAAAAGAAAGTGGGAGAGGGAAAGATACCAGTTAATGTATTTGTGAAAGAGAGGAGAAAGGTTTTTACTGGAGCAAACAAAGAGCAGGAAGATTAACAAAGAATCAGGAAGTAACAAGACAAATATATATTGGAAAGTCAAATCAAAGACATGTTAGATCACTGCAGTTCAGCAAAATGGCAGCTGTACTCACAGTGCTGGTGCTATTCTTAACTGGTTTTCTTGCTGCATTTATACTGTTGGTCATAGGGGCAATTAATTTTGATTTTTCCAACTCAGAAATTCCTCCTGGAGTGAATCAGCCTGCAAAGCTCCGAATCATTCATATAATTTTAATATTCACAGCTGTGGTGGTAAGTGAACCTGGTGTGATTTCTGGGGGGTGAAGAACAGTGAACCTGTAGATTTTAAATTTACTATCATGCTAGAAACCTGCATGGAATTATGTTCTGGAGAGCAGAGCAGGGCACTGCTGTCATGCTGTATGTTTTATTGAGCTGAGTGCTGCTAAAGAAATTTTTGCCAGACTTCTGATACTGCACTGCTCTAATCCAGTCCTGCCCAGCTCTATTTTAGCAGTACCTAAATGCTGCCTTAACACAAGTGTGTGAAAGTCTGACTGTGCTTCTGCCCTGACTCGAGCTGACCTAGCAATGATTTGATTTATAAATGTTTATCCATGTAGGATCATTTGTATTTCCATTCTTGGTTCAGACTATACCAGATGTCTCTGGTTCGTGCTTTCAAGGTTCTCATGGGCATGGGGATGACAATTCTGTATTTATTTTGGATATGAAGTGAGAAGCTGAACATTTCAGAATTGGCCTTGGGAAGGAAAAGTTTCTGTCACACAAGTAACAAAATTATGTAACGTTGCCCAAGAGGAGCTGAAGGAATTCTTCTGCCCAAAGCACATTTATATAACTCCTGCAGGATTGTGTGGTGGGAATGAGGGGCTCTGACCAGCCCAACTTCTGCAGGTGAAGCAGCTTGTAAAAGCGTGGGAAGGTAATCAGCCTCCAAGAGCAGCACTCAACATCTGGTGAGCTCTGCTGACAGAGGAGCTCACTGAATCACAGCTATTTCTATGTAATGACAGGTGTAGAGATGCTCTGATGAGACATGGCATTAGACAGGAGGTAACAAAGGTTGTGCATATATTTACTAAATTAATTTAATTAAAGAGATACAAGCTATTTAAAATTTTTAAATGAAAACAAAGAGAAAGAATTCTCTGTCAGAAATACAGTAGGTTATGGTCAACCACAGTAAAGAATTTTAGGTATATATTCTCATGCTTTGGCTGCACAGAAGTTGTAATTACAAAGAGATAACATCACTTAAGCAGCTGGAAAAGCCAGTTCTCTTTTAATCATCAATCCACTGCCCACCATAAACCAGCATTGTATGCTGCAATGTAAGTAACACAGGATGAAAGAAAACAAACAAGTTGAATATGAAAGTTAAAATATCCTTGGTATTGTTCATTCCTGGTTGGAAAATAGCAAATAAAAAAGAATAAATCAATTTATCATACAACTGGAGACACTAAGACTAGTTTCTGTAAAAAAATAAAATCAATACATTGCAAAATGTCTTAGTTTCTTCAAGAAATCTTACCTCAAGATCAGACATGGAGAATTTTATGAATGTCTGGAATTGCTGAAAAAAGGGCCTTTTGTTGATAAATATATTGAGAGTTATGACACTACTGACAATCCATGCAAATGTGGCTGTCTAATAAGAAATATTCATACCAGAATCTTGAGTATTATGAACTTGATCCAAATATTGCTAAGGAGGGAAGTACTGACTGGCATGGCTGGACAAAGCATTTCAAAACAGAGGATATGCCTTTTATTTATGCAGTTATGTTGGAGTAGTAGCTCTGATTTGTGTTCATTTTCTGGTACCTGGCATGAATAACCCTATGGCACAGAGAGTGAACAGAAGTTCATTTCTACTAAATATGTCAGGATTTTCTCGTCAGTGCATGGCACACATCAGTGAGACTTAGGAAATGGATCAAAAAACAATTATCAAACATATTCTTAACTTAGTCAACTCTACTTTGGGCAAGTGTCTGCCATGAAAATCAGCAGCAGAATGATCATCTTTTGCTATGTTTTCACATCATCTTGGGGGGAAGGATAGAATAACCAGTGAAAACCAAACTTGCTCTCAATGTTAGGTAAAGGACCTGCTGAGGAAGCAGAGGAATCTATCTCACCAATCTGTTAATGTTGCATTGTTTAGGGTTTTGTTCATGTAACTCTCTCATAGCCCCTCCTGATGCTGCTGTTACTCATTCAGTTTTCTCCTACACCTCTACAACTACTCTCTTAGTTTATTACTGCCTTAAAAATACATGACTTAGGCACCATGAGTTTACTGTGCACACTGTTCCTTCCTTTTGGAAAATACAGGGTCTCTTGAGTGAGGTCTCTGTTCTCTTTACCTTTGAACAGGGAAAGATTTTGCAAAACCTTGGCATCTGCACTCAGGTGAGCTTTGTGCGGTACATGCAAAGCAGAAAGACTCCGGGGGCGGACCCAAAGCTCTTCATCAAGGATCTATTGTTTGAGAAAGTGCCTGTAAGGATTTACCAGCCTAAGGCTCCATCTGCCAGCCAAAGGAGAGCAGTTATGTTTTTTCATGGAGGAGGATGGGTATTTGGAAGCATTGGTAAGATATCTAGCAGAAATATTTCAGTTAAAGAAATACATATTTCATAAATAATAAAGTTGGTTGTTTCTTGATCTGTGGCAGTTGCAAACTTTGAATATAACCACAGGTTCAATCTTGTAATTCTTGCTGCCAGAAGAAGGCATCTGTGATTTTTCATACAGGACAATGATATAAGGGGAAAAATACTGAAATAGGAAGATGAGGAGGTACAAAAGAACTGAGGAGCTTTGTAGGAAGCAGAAGGGAAAAGCAGAGAGCATTTCCTTCTTGC